TTTGTTTGTATTCTTCGGCATGCTTATAATTCGTGTTTCAAGGCATGCTTATAATTTTGTTGTTGTTTTAATTTTGTAGTTTGTTAAAAATTTTCTATAATGAAGATGAAGAGGCATGACCTTTTTAGCACGCGATGTTCTCCGAGGAAAGTATTCTCCCTAGTCTCAAATTTAGAGGCTTGTCAATCAGAGGCCATTAAGAGATGTGGCTTTGGTCGGATTCTTGAAGTCAAAGGAAGAATGTTACAACGTGAGTTGTTGGAGAAACTCTTAAAGAGCTTTAATCTGGAGGAAAGCACAATTAAGGCGTATGGTCTGAAAGTGCATATTTCGGCCAAAGATTTTCAGCGAATTATGGGTGTCCCCGAGGGAGGGACGAATATCGTCTTGGATGGTGAAGAAGTGATTGGAAGATCCGAGGAATTGAAAGAATTTATAGTGTATTCGACTCGTGACTGTGATCGACAGGCGATTTCCACAAGCTTAATGCGAAAGATGTTGTTGAAGATAAAAGAGAGCAGCGATCTATTTGTTAAAACTTTTATATTGTACGTAATGTGGGTGCTATTAGTACCTACTAGAAAAGATGACATTTCGTTATCTTCGGTATACGCTGTCACCGATGTTGCGGTCATTCCGAAGAAGAATTGGGCATCCTATTGCTTCAATGAATTGGTGAAATGCAGCTGCAACCATAATGCTGATGGGAAAAAGTATATACCTGGTTGCTTGCTGTTTTTGGAGCTAAATAATTGAAAATCCCTACTTTCTACATATTAGTAATGATTAATCATCATGTTGATTATAGCTTTTTTTGTAGTTAATATTTTTGGAGCATGCAAATGGTATTTCCACACCATTGATGGAAGTTTGGATGTGACGAGTTGGGGGAGCGGAGACGTAGAGTTATTGTTAACGAAAGTGGTAAGACTGATAGTGCAAAATGGTATATTTGATTATTTTGACGAGTTGGAGCATGCTAATGGTACATTTGGTTCCCTTTTTAATTAATTTATAGGTTTTCAGCAGGGGAAAAGATCATCTGAGGATGCAGGTTTGAAATCACCTCCAAGGAAACGGGAAAAAAGAGACGGGAAACAACACAAAACCGATGAGGATGAGCTGCTTCTCTGTGAGCGTATTGATGCTCGGTTTAGTACCATGGAGGCTAGATTTGACAACTTCAGTCAAGAATTTAAAGTCGCAATGGGTGATGCTTCTTCTAGAGATGAGGAGCTAATGGTTCGGGTTATGAAAATGGAGAATGAATTTCGGGCATTTAGAGACGAAATTGGTACTGCAGTGAAGTCAATTATAGAGGCAGTGAAAGCAACTACAGGTGACCCATTGTCAAGGGAGCAGCCTAATGCATTGAAAAAGAACGATCAGAAGGATGCGGCTGATAATGTGAAAGCTTCTGCAGTTGTTTTGTTGTCAACGGAGCAACTTATCAGAGGGAAAAAGGGCAATCAGAAGGGTGAGGTTGAAAAACCAAGTGAACCCATTTCTCCTACCTCCGAATGTGTCAAGACTCAAGGGTTAGGTGTTAAGTTTTGGGGAGAGGCTGAGGGGGAATTTGGAGATGACAGCTGTTATGAATTTCATTCTGTCAAAGTTGTGAAAAAGTCTCCTTGCAAGCAGGCGAAAGCGTCTAAAGTTGAGAAATTCACTTGTTAGTGATGAAAGTGTTGCTGCTAATGATGGTTGTGCCAAAACTATTAAGGTATTACACTTAATTAAGTTTTCTAATTATTTGTTCTTATGGTGTGGTTACTAATGAACTGGTTTTGTTTTTTATGTTTTTGAACAATAAAGGGGCGAAAGGGAGGTGGACTACGTAGTGTATCTAAATTGAAGCCTAGTTTGTATGTGGTCTCTCCATTTGAACGGGCAAATCCCAAAGCTAAGAAAGCACAACCTTTGTACCTTGCTCCTCCCTTTGTTGTTAAGACACCATCGACTCTGGAGGCAGTAAAGATGATTCAATTTGCTTTTAGTGGTAAGCTTCCCGGAAGGTACCTCCCGAAATCATTACAAGTAAGATTTGATCATATTTGTAGGATGTTTTTGTTATTTACCTTATTATAATGTTGTGGTGTTTGAACTTGGTCTTGTATTACAGTGGCATGTTGGTTAGTCTTGATGGCGGGGTTCTTCCCTTGCTCCGTGAAGATTTGGTTCAGCTTTTGCCCAGGACCAAACTTTCAACAAGGGTGAGTTCTTTTATGTGTTTAATTTAGTAGATTGAACTTGTATTGCTGACTTTGGTATATGTGATGACGATGCATTATATTATAGAAATGGTGTATCTGTGCAAGACACTAGAAGAACGAAGTTGTGGTCGCAGTGGTGGCTTGTCTTGGTTCTTTCCACCTTCAGTTTCGGTACAGTTGTCTACTTTGTCTATTCTTGTCATGAAATTAATCTATTTGTTTGTTACATGTAGCTTGTGTGGGTAATTGCGTTTCATTTTTCTAGGATCATGTGTATCATTGCAACGAGGAGCAATTTATGGCTAACATGGGTTCATATAAGATACTTGAGCGATATCGTATAAATGAGCTACTTTACTGAAGTAAGGTATGTTGTAACGTTGTTTTCTAAAAGGAAATGGCTTAACCCCCCTATGTTAAATTGATAATTATTGTTTGTTTGTTTGTGCATTATTTCAGATTCATGTCCCAATTTTCAACCTCACGTTGACCCACTTCTATCTGGCGGTCTTTAACATGGAAACCAAAGAAATTGAAATTTGGGACTCATTACCAGGAACTCATAACCAAGAATATGATGCAAGGATGCATAAACTGGTTTGCTTCTTGTCTTGTTCTTCAAGTTTTCAAACTTGACTTATTGCTTAGTTGTTAGTTGTTTTTCATTTGCCAACTTTGTCGTTAAATATCGATGAGGGGGATGTTTTCATTTGCAGAAATTGGGTCTAGACTTGTTGCTTAAGGAGGATATCTGCGGGGCGTTTTCATTTGTGGACTTTGTGGTTAGATATCGTCGGGATATTGCTTACCAACCAAATGGGTATCCTGTTGTTGTTCAATTGTGCACTGTTCTAATTATGTTCGGTAATTATTTGTTCGCATCATGACCATGGTAATTATTTGTTATATTACAGATTTGATTGTGGACTATTTGTCACCAATTACTTGCTGGATCCAGATCGATATTCCAAGAATCTTGACCAGTTTGACAGTGACTATGAACGGGCACAGCTTACTATGTACTTGCTCACTACGCGTTTGAATGAGGTGCAAGCTACAGTTAAAGCACAATCAGATGAATATTTTGAGAGTCAAGCTAGACCTGCCCAAATTGAGACCGAGAAGGTGAATTTCAAGACGAACTTACTCAATCGAGGAAGAAAGCCGTTGTATGCGCATGATGAGAAAAAAGGATAGAAAGTCTAAGAAGTAGTGAGAGTTGTGCTGTTAATGTAGAGTTAAGTTAATGTGGATGTTGAATGAAGTTTAGGAAAATGTAGATGTTGAATGAATTTTAGTGAATGTAGATATTGAATGAAGTTTAGGAAACTATTGAAATTACAATGAAGTTATGAATGAAGCATTATTCGGTGATGTTCTCTTTCTCTATATTATGTTTAATGTGTCGACAAGGAAGAAGTTATGAATGATCATTTACCGAAAAATGGTTGAAAATTGAACCTTCTCAATTTCACGGTTCCATGATGGAAACAAATGGACCTTATTCACCCTGCCAGCAGGCAGTCTCACGGCCTCAATAATCCATTCTCACGGCCGTGAGATTGGGCCGTGAGATGGTGATTTCCCTGAGACCTTAGGATGGGCCTTTCACGCCCATGAGACTAGGCCGTGTGATGGGTTTTTCTAATGCCTTAATGATGGGCATTTCACGCCCGTGAGACAGGACCGTGAGAATGGAAAAATCATTCCCTAGAGTACAGGGAACCTCACGGTCTTGAAAGGTGTATCTCACACCCGTGAGATTGTGGGTGTGAGTTAGTGAATAAAAAACGTCATTTAGAAGGATCAAACCCACGCACTTGGGGTTATCATTCAACGCATTACCCAATCAGACTACCTAACATATTTTGTTAAATTCATTGTCCGTTTTCATTTTTGAACTTGTAACCAATTTACTATATGGTTGAATGAGCGTTTAATTATCGGTTTTGGGTTCAACCCATGTAATTGTAAACCGATGTGAGATTGAGGTTAGGTATATGGTTGATTGAGTGTTTGATTATGGTTTTGGGTTCAACACATCTACTTGTGAACCGATGTGAGATTGGTTGATGATATATGGTTTAGTGAGTGTTTGATTACGGTTTTTAGGTTTAACCCATGTAATTGTGAACCGATGTGGGATTGGGTTTACGGTATATGGTTGATTGACATTTGATTATGGTTTTGGGTTGAACCCATGTACTTTATATGGTTGACTGAGCGTTTGACTATGGTTTTGGGTTTAACCCATCTAATTATAAACCGATGTGAGATTGATTTATGATATATGGTTGAGTGAGTGTTTGATTATGGTTTTGGGTTTAACCCATGTAATTGTGAACCGACGTGGGATTGGGTTTTCGGTATATGGTTGACGTTTGATTATGGTTTTGGGTTGAACCCATGTACTTTATATGGTTGACTGAGCGTTTGACTATGGTTTTGGGTTTAACCCATGTAATTATAAACCGATGTGAGATTGATTTACGATATATGGTTTACTGAGTGTTTGATTATGGTTTTGGGTTTAACCCATCTACTTGTTAGCCGATGTGAGATTGGTTGAGAGTATATGGTTTAGTGAGTGTTTGATTATGGTTTTGGGTTGAACCCATGTACTTGTGAACCAACGTGGGATTGGGTTTACGGTATATGGTTGATTGACGTTTGATTATGGTATTGGGTTGAACCCATGTACTTTATATGGTTGACTGAGCGTTTGACTATGGTTTTGGGTTTAACCCATCTGATTATAAACCGATGTGAGATTGATTTACGATATATGGTTTAGTGAGTGTTTGATTATGGTTTTGGGTTGAACCCATGTACTTGTGAACCGACGTGGGATTGGGTTTACGGTATATGGTTGATTTTCGTTTGATTATGGTTTGGGTTTAACCCATCTAATTATAAAACGATAATTTTTTGGGTCGGTCATAATGAAGAAATTCCTAGATCCTAAACCCTCACCATCGTAAGTCGTAACAGTGATGTTGTTTCTTCCTTCTCGTCCTTCGTCGGCGCCAGAGGACTGATCCTCGGTTCCTCCCTGTCGGCTTCTTCCTTCCTTCTTTCCTCCCTCCATCCTACCTCCGTTCTTCCATACGTAGGTGTCCAATTCTTGTTTCCCATCCTCTGTAGGTCACTCGACCGATTTCGTTTCCCAGCCTCAGTTCTTAATTGTCGTCCTTCGTCGGCTCCTTCTCCGCCAATATTACGAAACCAGATTCTTCCTATCTCCCTTCCTTCGTCTTCCCTTCTCTACGCAACCATCGATTTTCCATTCTCCCTTATTCGCCCATCCTTCGCCACCCAGCTAGAACCCTAATTAGTGAGATCCGATTTCCCTGTTGGAACCACTCGAACCCTAAGATTGGGGAGTTAAATTTTCTGGCGATTGATGGTCCACTTTGCGGCAAAGGAAGCGGATCTACTTTGTGGGAGACAGCGGATAGTACTGGAGCCGGAAATACACTATCGCCCTCCCCCAGTCAATTCCTTGTATCGGCCTTCTCCTACTGAGTCGTTGGTTCTAATCCTAAATCCAGGTTGGTACCTATATGTCGATACATCATATATGTTAGATCATATATATTGGAGATGGGTTGCGGCTGAATTTGTTTTTGTTCCTAGCGAGATTATTACTTATTGGGACTGGTAGAAGTTGACTCCATCGTTCTGGTTGTCTTCTTTGTTCAATTTGGTGGGTGTTGTGAATTGTGATCTTGCTTGGCTTCATTTCATTTGTGAATGGTTGGTTTGTCGCGGAAGTGAAGGGGAAACTATCGAGATGATAGGGCACCTATCGAGCTGAGTTTGCTTAACTCGGACTTAGCTCGTGTTTGTTTCATTTCATGGAGATTGAGTGGGTCTGTTCTGCGTTCTAAACTGGTATTGGGCACCTTATCTCTGACCGAATTTTTCTGGAGATATGAAGTGTCTTAGCTTTCGCATTGTGGAAGAACGTGAATCACTATCATTCGAATTTTGAAGCGTGTGTTTTCTGGTTAGTATTCCTGCTCCTGCATATAGCGAGGGAAGCAGAAAAAGCAACTTTGACTTCATGTCCTGGATTCTAGTTCACATTCTTTATCAATCATTTTATTTGAACCATTTTGATGTGTGATTTGAGGATATGCAGAATCATAAGTAATGAGGGGGTGAAAGGGCTGCCTTTTGAGGTTAACATGGGGCTTGGAGGATTCTTTTATGATGCTATTGCCCTCTGTTACAATCAATCCCAGAGCATTATTAGTAATAGTATGTTAGTTAAGCTTGGTAGGTAATGGATGCTTAAAGATGCACAGAAACTATGTGGCTTATATGCATATGCCTCTAATATTTTTTCGTTGCTTGTTAATTGATTAGTGAACTGTTGGATTCGATCGGTTGTGGGTGGTGAATATGTGGATTTCAATTGTCTCTAAACTTTATTTTGTTGGTTGTTTTCAGTTGATCAACTATGGAAGGGTTGATGGATGATATGAGCACAGGCAAGGACATGGGAATTGACTTGAATGTTGGTTTAGATTGGGGAATGGATTATGGAGATGATACCGGTGGTGTTAGAGATAGTGACGATATGGAGGACAATGTCGACACCAACAATAGTGATTCTGAGGATGATAATAACACTAACATTGGTGATGATGATAAGGAGAACATCTCAGATGAGCATTTGCACAGCTTCGAAACACAACAACACAGCTCAGATGCACCTCTACACAAAGATGCTGCAAATCCAGCCAAGGCTCCACCATCCTCGAGTATGTATGACTGGACCCTTCTTGATAAAGTCGGGAATGGGAAGCCATATGCTAAATGGGAGTGGATGATGTTGTGGGTTATGAGTTTGAAACCCTTGTGGAGACTGTCAAGTTATATTCAACTTATGGTTGTGCCATGGGATTCAGCGTACGAAAGAACACTCACACAGATTCAAAATATGGAGTTAGAAATATGCAGCGATGGGTTTGCTCACTCGAGGGGGAGCGTCATCCAGTGCACAATGACAAGGAGAACAGAAAGCGTGAACCTAGGCCTATAACAAGGCTCCATTGTCCGGCTGCTTTCAAAGTCAGTTTTGTTGAGGCAACTAACCGATTCAAGGTGAAACAGTTTGTACCAACACATTTTCATCACTTAGCTGGAGCACATGAAGTGCAGTTTTTGAGTTCTCATCGCAAGGTAGATGATGCAAGTAAGGCTCAGATTCGATCACTTAGGGCTGCTGGTGTTCGCACCAATCAAATCATGGATTATCTAGTGAATTGTGCGTGAAGCTTTCAGAACTTGGGTTTCACTAAGACCGATGTCTACAATTTTGTTAGTGCGGATCGGAGGTCGGAGATCTTGGATAGTGATAGTGAAGCTGCACTTGGCTACTTACAAGCATGGGAAACTACTGATCCTCGTCGTAGGTACACAGTAAGTTATGATGGTGAACTAGGCAATATGTTATGGGCTGACTCTACTTAACAATTGGATTATAGTCTCTTTGGAGATGTTCTTGTTTTTGACTCGACGTACAAGACTAATGCATATAATCTTCCATTTCTTCTATTCATTGGTGTGAATAATCACAATGCAAGCACTATTTTTGCATGTTCTTTACTTGTGGATGAAACGGCGGCGAACTACGTATGGATTCTAAATGCTTTTTTACATTGTATGGGTGGTAAGAAGCCAATCGCAGTTATAACAAATGGTTGTTCTTCAATGAGGAAAGCTATCAAGTCGGTTCTCCTTGGATCCCGACATCGGTTATGTTCTTGGCACTTGGGCAATAACGCAGAAGTGCGTGGCCATGCGGAAGGCTTCCGGGAGGATTTCAAACAATGCATGCTAAACTGCAGTTCTATTCCACAATTTGAAGCTACATGGAAGGAAATTTTTTCCAAGTATGACATGGAGCACAATGCGTGGATGAAGAAGATGTATAGGCGACGAGCTCTATGGGACACAACTTACTTGAAAGGTACTTTCTTTGCTGGGATTACTACGTCACAACGTTGTGAGAGCATGAACTCTTATCTAGAAAAATTCTTGCAAACTAAGATGAAGTTGTTTGAGTTTGTCAAGCAGTTTGACATGGCACTTTTGTATAGGAGACAAACTGAGTTACATGACCAGTTTAAGACAATACATACTGATGTTATTTTGATGACACATTTATTTGAAATTAAAGACATTCCTCTATAGTATATACAAGAAATGTTTCCAGGAGCGTTCGAGCAGAAATATCGAGAGAAGTTCATTACTATATTACAGACAAGTGTGTGTTGACCAATAAAACAATTTACACATTGTCACGATTCAAATACCCTGACTCAAAGTGCACCGGGGTCTTTTACACGAGTGGACATGATGTGCATTGTTCTTGTGGCATTTTTGAGTTCTGCCGAATTCCATGTCGGCATATATTATGTATATTGAAAGCAGAAAATCAAATACAAATTCCCAAGTCACTCATTTTGAAGCGTTAGACTAAAGATGCAAAAGAGTTTGATCCCTCGAGTATGGGAAGCTGTCCTACCCAGCAAAATATTAGCAGGTATTATAAATTTAAGCTGCTGATTTAGCTCTTTGTTTACTTCTATTGTGCTTGGAACCAACTACAAAAGTGCTTGTTTATTTGGACAGGTTTGGATTCTTGGTTGGTCAATGTAGTAGAATGTGCCATTATGCTGTGAGTTTGGATGAACCATTTCATACTGCCAAAGGGTTGATTGAAGACTTGACCTTGCGAGTGAAGACAATAAGTGAAGAAACAACGAGCAAAACAAATAATGCTACACGGATGCTGGAGTGAACTCCTCTCGGTTTATTAAGGATCCCCATCCAGTTCGAAGTAAAGGGAATGTGAAGCAACCTCAAGTTAAAACACGGTTGTGCAAGTATTATAGGCGTCCTAAACATACAATCAGAAATTGCCCGGTGAAAAGAATGGCCGAAGCAGGTGCAGGTGATAGTCATTTCACGCAACAAGAATACAACTTTGAGTCCATAGGAGCAGGTGAAAGCAGCTTTCAAGTGGAGACTCAAGAATCTGTTCTACTTCCAAAACAATCCAAGTACAACCTGTAATGCTGGTGTTCGACTTTAAACAACATTATGTTTCATCTTGTCATGTTTGTTTTGTGCAAGTTAGTATCTAGTGACATTGAATGGATCTATGTAATGCTCGTGTCTAGCTTCAAAGAACATTATGACTCATCTTTTCATAAGCTTGTAGTTTTCAAAAACAGTATATTATGTTTCTTACACCATTATAATAAGTACAGGGGTTAGTTCTACAGGTGAAAATCTGTGCAGACTACTTCTGGAAATCTCACGGCCAATTCTGGAAATCTCACGGCCGTGAGATCGCCCCATGAATGCAAAAATACAGGTATCAGTTTTCCATGGATTTTCATGGATTGGATTCGACAATATCACGCTCGTGAAAGAAGTCGTGTTTTTGAATTTGAAATTCTGGAAATATCACGGCCGTGAGAGCGGTCGTGGATGTAAAAATGCAGTTCTTAGTTTCCCAGGGGTTTTCACGGGTTGGGTTCGACAATATCACGGCCGTGAGATGAGCCGTGTTTTTGGATTTAAAATGTTGGATTTCTCAAAGCTCGTTTGGTCAATATTACGGCCGTGAGATGAGCCGTATTTTTGGATTTTAAATGCTGGATTTCTCACGGCTCATTCTATCAATATTACGGTCGTGAGAGGACCCGTGTGATGTGAAAACACAGTTGCCAGTTTCCTAGTGCTATTCATGGGTAGAATTTGAAATTCTCATGCCCGCGAGAGGGAGCCAGGTATTGGATTTAAAATTGCAAAACCCTTCTCTCAACCCCTCTCCCTCGTCTGTTCCAATTCGTCTCTATCAACCCAACCCTTCTCTCAACCTCTTCTCCTACCTCGCCCTCTATCATCCCTCTTCTACGACATCACCTTCCCTTAACCATCAATCCCCAACCTGAGAAGTCGATGCAACTCTCCCTTCTCTCAACCCCTCTCCCTCTTATGTTCGAAGCCACTCTCTCGCTCTCTGGTCGAAGTTTCTCAACCCTGAGATGTCGAAGCTTCTCGCCACAGTGCCACTCTGTATTTGAGCCCCAACCCTCTTCTCCTACCTCGACCTCACTGGCTCGCTCGCCTCACAAGGTTCAGCGGCGACGGCGACCACTTCCCCACGAGTCCCCGCCCTCTATTCCACTTCAATCCCCACAACGCCTCTGGTGAGTTCTTCTTAACCACAGCGCCACTCTTCTCTGGTTTCTTACATTTTTTAGGGTTTAGTGGCCCAAGGTTGGTCTGAATTAGGGTTTTGAATTCCTTATCATCATTTTCTTAGTGCATTCCGATTGTCGTGCCTTTGAATAGTTGCCCAAGGTTGGTCTGAATTAAGGTTTATTATCGTGGAAAAGGTACTTGAAAGATTGTTTGAAGGATGCAAGTCCATGGGAGAGGAACTGCAGGAACTACAAAATGTGTACATTGTAAATATTTTCTCGAGGTTTTTCTCCTTGTCTAGAGATCTACTTGCCATTTGTGTTGCTCCTTTGTTTCCTTTTTGCAGACAGGTCTCTGTTTGTTGGATCAGGTTCTGTTTGCTTCTTTTGTAACGGATCGTATGATGTTTATCACCGTGTTTGTTAGTGTTGCTGCCTTTTGCAGTGAGCATTGACATGGTTCTGACTGATCATGATGGTGTAGACGTGATTAGAATGCTCCTGGGATCTTCTCCCTTGATGTCACATTGACTATTCCCTCGTCGATCTCTAAGGAAGGAAGCAAGGAGAACAAATTTTCCAAGCTTGATACTATCCTTGGACAAGGAAGGAAGCAAAGAGATGGAGATCGAAATACATAGAGAGAAGTTTTTAGTGGGAGGGATGCAATGGGTGAAAGACCCCTAACCAAGGATTGTAGCAAGCTTGGAAAATTTGTTCTGTCCGGTATCATCCCAGCTCCAAGGGGAGTTACAATAGTAGAGGATACCTTGGAGATCAACGAGGATGGAATACTCAAAGAGACGTCAAGGGAGAAGTCTGTAAGTCTATATCTTCCAGTATCTTTGTTGAAAACTGGAATGCATACCAGATTCCTTGATCAGTGAACTGCCTATGCTTATGCACAATTATTTTCCCTCTCATTTACTAAAGACTAAATGTGCTTAGTTGGTTTTTGTAGGAATGGGGAAAGCTAAACAAAAAACCACGCAACCATAAGCCTCACCTGCCAAAGTGAAGGCTCCTTCTCGTCGTCGCCGCCAAACCCAACAACGAGACACTCCCCCAAACGACAACGCAAAAACAATCAAGGACGGGCACATCAACCATCTCCACCACCACAACCGGAGGCTCAACTTGGAGGAGGGGGACTGCACGACTTCCTCCCACTACCCGACAAACATAGGAGGGCTTTGGAGTTCTTCCTTCCCCTCCCATTTGGGCAGCAAAGATGCTTTGATTGGGATCTCCTAGAGCGCCTCGGAGCAGCGGACCCCGTTCGCACATGCCTCCGTCTCCCGACATGGTGTGAGGTTCTCTCAATTAATGAGGTCATCTACCGAGAGCTTACCATTGAGTTCCTCAGCACTCTCTCCACCAAGTATATAACCGAGTTTAACCTCGACAAGCCCCAAGACAACATAACTTTTTGCCTTGGAGGACAGGCGAGACAGATGAGCATCACTGAGTTCATAGAGGTACTCCAGATATACCCACCAGGATTTCTCACCACAGATGGACATGGTTTGATTTCAGAGAAAATATATCCACCAAGAGCACCATTAGTCGATGCTCTGTGGAGAACGGTGAAACAAAGCCATGTGGCAAAGTCTGATACTGCCCACTATAAAAAGAATGATCTTCTTCCCCCATGGCGTATCAACCACAACATTATCGCTCATTCTGTGGCAGCTAGGGAGGGGAGCCCGGGGAGTGTGACCAAGCGGGATTTGAACTTTTTCCTCTCTATGGTAAAAGATCCCCCAATTCATCTTGGCTTAGTCATACTGAAAACCCTACAGAAGATGAACTCCAACAAACAAATCTAGACCATCCATGAAGGTGCCTACATCACAAGGCTAGCTCGCCATTTTGGCCTTGATCCGGTGGGTTTTCATTGCACCATTGCCCAGTCCACTCAACCAATCTCCCAAAAAAACCTTGCGGATCTATATTTGTTGTCAAAGGTAAATGTTCCAACCAACACTTTCCTTTTCACAATGAATGCTAAAAGAGAACTAGTTGAGATTCAAACAATCTAGGATTGATTTTGTGCAAGTTTTGGATTTCCTACTAATCTAGTTCCTTTTGAACATTGAGCAAATGTAACTAATGCTTCTGATATTGATCATGTCTGTGTTTGGTGGTTAAGGAGAATGGTGTGCTAGGAATTGTTGGCCTCCCTCATCCTGCTCCACCTCTTGCAACAGATGAGGCAAACGCATTGGAGCATATTGTTCAGCAAATGGTCGAGGAGACTCCGGAACAACCTGCACAACATCACCAAACTACGACTCAAGCCGGACCATCCACTGACACATACATATCCCATTTGGAGGCATTGGGTCGGCAGAATGCCCAAATTCTGGAGCAAAATGCACTCATTCTCTCTCGCCTCGATCGAGAGAAGGAAGCTCGACGCTACATCATCAAATGCAACCATCACATCATGAGGTCCTTGAAGATTGACTACCAAAAATTCTCAAGACCTTTGGAACTATCTCCTAACCCAACCTAGGAAAGCAACGAAGTGGGAATTGAAGAGGATGACGAGGGTAATGACGATGAGCAAAACAAGGAAAGCAGTGAAAAGGACAATGACACCAATGAGGAAGAGGACAGTGAAGAGGATGACGAGGGCAATGACGATGACCAAAACAAGGAAAGAAATCAAGAGGACCAAGGGACCAATGAGGAAGAGGGCAGTGAAGAGGACGACGAGGGCAATGGCGATGACCAAAACAAGGAAAAAAATCAAGAGGATGAAGGGACCAATGAGGAAGAGGGCAGTGAAGAGGACGACGAGGGCAATGGCGATGACCAAAGCAAGGAAAGAAATCAAGAGGACAAAGGGGCCAATGAGGAAGAGGGCAGTGACTCTAGCGAGGTCAATGAAGATGAGCAAATCCAGGAAAACAATGACGAGGACGAGAACACTGACGAGGAAGATGGGCAGTGAATATGAGCCAACCAAAGTCCTTAGTACTTAGCTATGTGTGTTTGCGTTTGTGCTTGTATGTTTTCCAATTAGAATATGATGATGCACCGGTGTGGGCTACATGCAGCTAAACTTAAGCATTAATTAGACAGATTTAATCGTGTTATAGATGCTTGTTTTATTAGATAAATGTAATGCTTTGACTGCTTTTTACTTTTTGTTAACAGGGTATCTCATCTGATATAATGTACGGTTACTAAAGAACATTGTGAATGGATCTATGTAATGCTCGTGTCAAGCTTTATAGAACATTATAAATAATCTTTTTCATAAGTTTGAAGTTCTGGAAAAAATTTCATTATGTTTGAAACACCATTATAATAAGTAAAGGGGATAGTTCAACAGGTGAAAGTCTCCTATTGGAAATTTGACACCTTATACTGGTAATCTCACGACCGTAAAATACTCAAGTGAGATGTAAAAAGAAGTGCTTCATTCCTCAGGCAAATCTCACGGCCGTGAGATGTCTCGTGAGATGCAAAGAGCAGTTCTCACTATCCCAGGAAATTTCACGGCTACTACTTGACATTCTCACGCCCGTCAAAATCTCACATGAAATTGAAACACACAGCTGCCACTCAAACGTTCTCACAACTCATTCTGGCAAAATAACAGCCGTGGAATTAAGATGTACCTACACTTTCTAGAGTTGTACCTTTACACTAAACTTAAAGTTATATCTACACTTTCCTAAAAATCTTCTATGGTACAATTCACAATTGTACCTATACACTATGGTACAACTTAATGTTGTACCTACACTATCTAACAAATCCCTCTATGGTACAACTCAAACTTATACCTATACTTGTGGTACAACCTTATGTTGTACCTACACTTCCTAACAAATCCCTCTATGGTACAACTCAAAATTGTACCTATAGTATGGTACAACCTTAAATTGTACCTACACTTCCTCAAAATCCTTCTATGATACAACCCAAACTTGTACCTATACTTGTGGTACAACTTTACGTTGTACCTACACTTTCCAACAAATCCCTCTATGGTACAACCCAAACTTGTACCTGTAGCGTGGTACAATTTTAAAATGTACCTACAGTTTCTAACAAATCCATCTATGGCAAAACTAAAAATTGTACCTATACTAATGGTACAACCTTAAGTTGTACCTACACTTTCTTAATATTCTTCTATGGTACAACCCAAACTGGTACCTATACTATGGTACAACTTTAAGTTGTACCTACACTTTCTAACAAATCCCTCTATGATACAACTCAAAATTGTACCTATTCTTGTGGTACAACCTTATGTTGTACCTATACTTTCTAAAAATCCTTCTATTGTACAACCCAAACTTGTACCTATACCATGGTACAACTTTAAGTTGTACCTATCCTTTCTAACAAAACCCTTTATGGTACAACTCAAAATTGTACCTATACTAATGGTACAACCTTAAGTTGTACCTACACTTTCTCAAAATTCTTCTATGGTACAACCCAAACTTGTACCTATACCATGGTACAATTTTAAGTTGTATCTACACTTTCTAAAAATCCTTCTATGGTACAACCCAAACTTGTACCTATACCATGGTACAACCCAAACTTGTACCTATACCATGGTACAACTTTAAGCTGTACCTACACTTTATAATAAATCTCTCTATGGTACAACATAAAATTGTACCTATACTAATAGTACAACCTTAAGTTGTACCTACACTTTCTCAAAATTCTTCTATGGTACAACCCAAACTTGTACCTATACCATGGTACAATTTTAAGTTGTATCTACACTTTCTAAAAATCCTTCTATGGTACAACCCAAACTTGTACCTATACCATGGTACAACTTTAAGCTGTACCTACACTTTATAATAAATCTCTCTATGGTACAACATTAAATTGTACCTATACTAATAGTACAACCTTAAGTTGTACCTACACTTTCTCAAAATCCTTCTGTGGTACAACTTAAACTTGTACATATACTATGGTACAACTTTAAGTTGTACCTACACTTTCTAACAAATCCCTCTATGGTGCAACTCAAAATTGTACCTATACTTGTGGTACAACCTTTTGTTGTACCTACACTTTCTAAAAATCCTTCTATGGTATAACCCAAACTTGTACCTATACCATGGTACAACTTTAAGTTGTACCTACACTTTCTAACAAATCCCTTTATAGTACAACGCAAAATTGTACCTATACTAATGGTACAACCTTAAGTTGTACCTACACTTTCTCAAAATCCTTCTGTGGTACAACCCAAACCTGTACCTATACCATGGTACAACTTTATGTTGTACCTACACTATTACAAAAAACTCTATAGTACAACCTAAAATTATACGTACACGCTATGTGCAATTTTGAGTTGTACCTACACTTTGTGAAACAAATTCTTCAATGGTACAACCGAAACTTGTACCTATACGATATGGTACAACTCTAATTTGTACCTACACTTGTATACATTGATTCATTATTTACAAGATTTCCATTAATGATGTGGGACCAATCATTTAGTGGGTTTACCTTCTCAACAGGTCATTTTGGTCGGAAGTCCGGTTGGCTGAGGGAGGAGCCCCTGCGTCGGGGCAGACATCAAACAGAAGTTGAGTAAGTGAGTTGAGGATTAATGGTTCGAGCGTTTTAGTTCAGTTTAGTCTGGATATATGAAATCGGTCATTATAAATAATATACATTTATGATTATATTCAATCTCATATAACATATGAGTAATAACATATAGCAGTACACCAAAATAACATGCCGTACTTGAATCCAACATATAGTGATAATTCACACAAATATCGGGGTTGTTTGGAAGTTGCGGTTGTTTATGCGAAATTGTTACTATACTTGTATTGTTTAGAATGCATTGTTTTCTTTAATATTTTTTAGCAGACACAATACATGGATTGTTTATGTGATTTGACATAAACTATCACTCAATATGAGAGATTGTTATATCTTAGCTTTTACCTGAGATTGTTGAGATTGTTTTATCTCAACTTTAGGCTGATGTGATATACATAATCACACATACCAAACATTGTATTTTATAATGCATCAAATTCATCAATACATGTATAATATTATACATGTATTCACAATAATACATCTATTTAACAAACACAACTTCCAAACTACCCCTAACATAACATCAATATTCAAATCCCTAAAACGTTATGCGAAATAAAATAAAAAACATTTGTGAAGTTCGGGTTGCAGAGCACCAAGTTATGACCGTCCAAAGTTTGGCAAAATCTAAAAATTACTCTTTTGGGATAGCAAACGACGATTTTTTTCGTTACGATTGAATAATCGAGCGCAAAGTTACATTCGTTCAAAGTTTTCGCGTAGGTTAGGCGTTCACCATTTCCGATGGCCGCGGTGAATAGGGGTAGAAATCAGTACGGTATAGGTATCCCAATACCAAATATCGAAATCCCGAATACCGAATTACACCCTAAAGTCAATCCCAATCCCAATCCCTAAATATTTCGGTATCCCAATCGGTACTTCGGTATCCCAATTAGGAATGGCAATGGGGCAGGTCCGGGGCGGGTATCTCGATACCCATACCCGCCCCATGGCAGGTCGGGTCCAGGTCGGGTAATTTATCACGGGGCGCGGGTCGGGGCAGGTCGACCCATTGGGTATGTAATTTATGTGAAAAACATTAGAAATATTCGTTCTTTTCATTGAAAGACCAAGAAAGAAACCATAATATGATAAAATGTAGTTAAATTATTGAAGAAATTGAGGTTTTTACTTATTTACAACTTTATTATAGCTAAAATATAATGTAATAAGAAGAAAATCTTAAGTAATTTAACTAATATTATATGTAATTTAGGCAAGAACGGGTCGAGAATGGGGCGGGTCAGGGCAGGTCGGGTCGATGAGAGGTACCCATGCCAGCCCCGCCCCGCCTACGGGGCGGGTTTGACCCGCCCCAAAACAGGTCAAACAGGTCGGGTAAATCGGGTCAGGTCGAAATTGCCATCCCTAATCCCAATCGGTATTATCGAATACGAAATTAATTACCTTTGCAATTTATAATTAAATATATAAATTATATTTTATTGTTTAAAATAAGGGAAAAGGATTAAGTAAAGAGTTTTGAATTAAGATATTATTAAGGAGAATTGAGGAGAGGAGACATCTCAAGTTCTTGTCATTGGTAAACTTTAATTTGACGAATTGGACGTTGAGAGACGACTATTAATAGTGATGGAATGATCTATGTATAATTAAATGACACTCTTGGCGGTTGAGGGTCATGTGGTAGTGAATGAGAGAGTCTAGTTGAGAGGATAAAATACACACTAGCATATATTTCGGTATTGATCGATATTTCGGTATATACCGATCCCAATCCCGTAATCTCTAATACCGAATAACAAGTGAAATTCAATCCCAATCCCAATCCCAAAAAATAATACGTGTATTCGGTAATATCAAATATAGACAAATTCGGTACGGTATTCGGTATATCCCAAATACCAGTACCAAACTTCCCGCCCTAGCGGTGAAGCATTCATCGCTTTTGACTATCGCAATGAAGCCTTCACCGCAAACGGGGAGAATAAGTATTCTTAAAAAAAAACCCCTCTCGCGATCGTGCTCTCCCTTTTCGGTGGAGAGGGCCGAAAACCGCCTTCGTGCGCTCATGCCCATCAGGCTTTCCGCCGTCGTGCGGCGACATGGCCTGGCTTTCCGGGTCCGCATGGCTATAAATCGTTGGCCGACAGGGGGTGGTAGTGTGTGGATTGCAATTACTTACCCCCTCTCCGCTTCTGGCTCTTTGATTTGGCGTTCTTCGACAATGGCGGTGGTTCAGTTCGATGACGAGGATTTGGCGGTCGGGCTTGCCCGGGGGGAGCTTTCCTTGATCGGCCGGCTAATTGGCTCTCCACCGCCGCTCTATGCACTGGGGATGATGCTGGGTCGAGTGTGGCGGTACAAAGGGGATCTCATAATATCCGCCGTTGAGGAGGGGCTAACCCAATTCCTCTTTTCACAGAAGGCTGACCTGCACAAGGCGGTTACCAAATCCCCCTGGATCTTCGACAATTTCATGTTGGTGCTGGCACGGTGGGAAGACCCGACTCCACCGGTGGCTGATCGTCTTCGCTGGGCTCCGATGGCGTTGCAGATTTGGAAGGTCCCGTTCGAATGTTTCACTGAGAAAATTGCATGGCGGTTGGGCTCCTCTCTTGGGGTGCTTCATGATCCTCCCACGCTTCACCGGTCGGATGCTTTGGGTGGGCTTTATGTTCGAGCGGTTCCAGTTCTTGATCTCACGGCCCCTCTGCTAGATGGCATTACTGCTGGTCATGTCGATCAGACTCGAGGTAACTTTGTAGCTTCGGTTAAAATGGAAAAGGTTCCTCACTTTTGCTTCCTGTGTGGTGTCATTGGGCATATTGGTGAGAACTGCCCGCGGAAGGAGGCGTTCGCCGGTGTTACCCCAAAGTATGGAGTGTTCTCAGTTGCCACCGAATCAGGGTCCCCCGTGACAGAGGACACTCTCTCCAAGTGAAGTCGGCGGTTTACTTGGATCCGAGCAGCCAAGCCTCGCCCGGATTCAGCAAGGAGAAGCGGCCCTTTCAAGGAACCCCCTCCTCGTCCAGTTCCATCCCCTCTGCTGTTGACCCAGGCGGGAGGTCCTGCTGAGGAATGGCGGGATACTCGGCGGCCCTCACAACGTCGGATGGGGGCGAATTTCCATTCTCTTGTGATCTCCCCTTTGAAGTCGACTCCTAGTGAGGCAACATCAGCCCAATTTCCGGAAGGCGCTACTCTTACTGATGGGGCTGTCCCCAACTCGTCTTCTCCAGCGGCCAAAAGAGCCCAGTCAGGTCCTGGGTCGGCGGCGGCAGGTTCTTCTCCTCTTGAAAAGGCGGTGGCATCCAGCCTGGACTGGGCCCAACCCCATCCATGAGTTTTATGGTGTGGAACTGCCGGGGGATGGGCTCCCCCTTGACAGTTCCCTCTCTCGGTGGAGCCGTGGCGAGGTTCTCGCCTAGTCTGGTCTTCCTCAGCGAAACAAAAAGGGAAGATGAGTTTGTCAAGGCCAAATTGGCTAGGTTGGGTTATAAATCAGTTAGATGTTTTAGTGCGTCTAATGGGTGTGGTGGGTTGGCTGTTGGCTGGGGTGATCATGTGTCTTGTACAGTGCATCAACTTTCGTCCTTTCATTGTTTTGTAGAGTGTGTTGTCCCAGCTGTTGGGACTTTAGTTATTGTGTTTGTTCATTTATCGTGTGAAGTTGCTGTTCGTCAGGGTCAGTTGAATGAAATAGTCTATTTGCTCTCGTCGGTGTCATTACCCTCTTTTGTGGTGGGGGATTTTAACTGTCTATTGTCTTCAAATGGCTAGGTCAAGGCCAAATTGGCTAGGTTGGGTTATAAATCAGTTAGATGTTTTAGTGCGTCTAATGGGTGTGGTGGGTTGGCTGTTGGCTGGGGTGATCATGTGTCTTGTACAGTGCATCAACTTTCGTCCTTTCATTGTTTTGTAGAGTGTGTTGTCCCAGCTGTTGGGACTTTAGTTATTGTGTTTGTTCATTTATCGTGTGAAGCTGCTGTTCGTCAGGGTCAGTTGAATGAAATAGTCTATTTGCTCTCGTCGGTGTCATTACCCTCTTTTGTGGTGGGGGATTTTAACTGTCTATTGTCTTCAAATGAAAAGATGGAGGGGAATGTGCCTGCTTTTGCTGCCTTAGATCAGCTTAATGGATTTATCCTGTCTACCGGTTTGGTTGATCTAGGTTTTCAAGGATCCCCCTTCACATGGTCGAATCGACGAGCGGGTGGGGAACACATCCTTGAGCGGTTGGATAGGTGTCTTGGGAGTTCCTCGGCGATGGCAGAATGGTCGGACTTGAAGGTAATTCACTTAACTGATTTGGGCTCTGACCATAGGATGCTCCTTGTGCAGCTCACTTCGCAGGGACATCACCGACATACCAGGTTTCAGTTTGATGGGAGGTGGAACTCTGATTCGGAGGCTTTGGCGGTAATTCAGTTGGCTTGGGGAAAACCCACGCATGGGTCTGTTCAGTTCAGAGCTTTTAATCAGCTCAAAATGGTCCACCATGATCTGGTGGAATGGGTGAGATTGGGGACTTCGAATTCGGCTCGGCGCATCAGGGAGCTAAAGCTGGCGATTGAGGATCTCCGCGAGGCTACCTTGGTGGATTGGGACGCCATTCGGCAACTTGAACGGGATCTTTCGACTGCCTACATTGAAGAGGAATGCTTCTGGCGGCAAAAGTCGAGGGTGGGTTGGCTCCGGGAAGGGGATGCCAACACCAACCTATTTCACCGCACGGTTATGCAACGGCGGCGCTTCAATCGGCTGCGTGGGTTACGTGATGAGGCCGGCTCTTTACAGCATGAAGAAGAGGCCATGGCAGGTATAGCTATTCCATACTATCAATCCATTTTCACATCTAACAATGTCGATGCCTCGGCATATGTGGACTCTTTGGGTATTTCTAGCAGAGTCACGAGGGAGATGAATGATGCTCTAATAGCTCCTGTGTCGGTGCTGGAGGTCAAGGAGGCAGTGTTCCGGATTGGCAGCCATCAGGCCCCCGGGTTAGACGGATTCACAGCAGCCTTCTTCCAAGTACACTAGGAGGTGGTGGGGCCGCTGATCACGGATGCGGTCCTAAGTTTCTTTACCTCGGGTCGCCTCTTACACAGCTTTAACCACACGCTCATTTCCCTACTGCCGAAGGTCTTGAATGCCGAATCAATGCGACAAATCCGGCTCATAGGTTTGTGTCAGGTATTTTATAAAATCATTGCCAAGATAATGGCGGCTAGGCTCAGTATGGTCCTACCTGATGTTGTGAGCAATACCCAAAATGGTTGTGTACGTGGTAGGCTGATTACTGATAATGTCCTGATTGGTCAAGAAGTTATGCAATTTCTGAAAACTAAAGTGCAGGGCCGAGACAAGTGGATGGCGCTCAAGCTAGATATGGAAAAAGCTTATGACTGTGTGGAATGGGCGTTCTTATTGCTGATTATGGAGCAGATGGGGTTCTGTTATGAATGGCGGCGTTGGATTTCTGCTTGTATTTCTACTGTCTCCTTCTCGGTTTTAATTAATGGCCATGCCCACGGGTATTTTAAACCCCAACGGGGACTGCGTCAAGGTGACCCTCTCTCGCCCCTTCTCTATGCTATTTATTCGGAGGCTTTTTCGGCTAAACTGTCTAGTGAGATCATGGCTGCAAATTTACATGGATTGCGGGTTCATCGGCATGCGCCCTTGACTTCTCACTTATTGTTTGCTGATGATATTTACCTGTTTTTGAGAGCCTCTTTACCAGAATGTGCTAACTTACTGGCTTTGCTTGATGAGTTGGAGAGGGTGAGTGGCCAAAGAGTTAATTTTGCTAAGTCTTCTTTGTGTGTTAGCTCTAATGTTTCAAATCAGGAACGATTGGCCTTGGGATCCTTTCTGGGAGTGGCTGCTTCGGGCTCGATTGACAAGTACCTAGGGCTGCCAATTCATATTCAACGGTCTAAAACTCAGACTTTTAGATTTGTTGAGGAGGGCCTAGCAGCCAGGATCAGGTCTTGGAAAAACTAAAGCTATGTTCTTGGCTGCGAAGGAAACGGTGATCAAGTCCATTGGTTCAGCCTCATCCATCTATACTATGTCTGCTTTTAGATTACCCTCCTTCACTTGTCGCAGGTTAAATGGCCAGTTATCAAGGTTTTGGTGGGCTGATCAAGATAAAGAAGATGGGATACATTGGCTTTCTTGGCAGGAAGTTTGTCTCAGTAAATTTGCAGGGGGATTAGGATTCCGCGACTTTGAACGGTTCAACATTGCGCTCTTGGCGAAGCAAGCCTGGCGTGTACTAATGAATCCGGATTCCACTTTGGCGTCTCTATACCGTGCTAGATATCACCCTCATACTTCATTCTTGGAGGCAGCATCGGGTCCAAGACCGTCCTGGGCGTGGCAAGGCATTCTAGCCAGAAGGGATCTTCTGTTGCGCGGGCTTCGTTGGCGGATCGGGGATGGATCTACTGTGCAAGTTCTAGCCGATAACTGGCTCCCTTCAGACCCTCCGTCGATGCCTGTGTTGCTGCCGCATATTACTTCCTGTCCAATTTATGTTTCAGCTCTCATCTGCCCTTTTTCCCGCTCCTGGAATGTCGAGCTGCTGACTAACCTGTTTGTGCCAGCATCGGTGAATTTAATTCTCTCAGTCCCTTTACCGATGCAGGTTTCTCAGGACAAACTCATTTGGCATTATTCTCCGACTGGCGAATACACTGTGAAAACCGGGTATCATGTTCTCTCAGATGAACTGATGGCTGCTCATCCCCCGGCTCCCTTACCTTATGATTGCAAGTTCTGGAAGGTGCTGTGGAGTCTGCCTCTGCCGCCCAAACTGAAATTTTTTTGGTGGAGAGTGGTTAGAGGCTTCCTCCCAGTTCGAGCTGTGCTTCAAATCAAACGGCTGGTTACAGAGAATATTTTTGCGGTTTGTTCGGACGGGGCTGAGACTATCTCGCATTCCTTCCTCAAATGTCGGGTGGCCGTGGAGCTATGGGAGCTGGCTGGATTGGGCAACCTTCGAAGGAGGTTAGATGGCTTGTCGCCTTCGGTTTGTTGGAATGAATTATTCTTTGAATGTCAGTTGTCCAAGTCTGAGATTGCTGATGTTGTTTTCCTTTGTTGGCGAGTGTGGAAATCACGTTGTTGAGCTGTACATAAGCGCATTCAATACTTGGGGGAACCCCTGTTTCGGCAGTTTCGTGCACAGGTGGAGGAGTGGCAACATGCGTCCTCGCCATTGATTTTACACAGGTTTGGAGGTGGGGCGCCTAGTTCACGGGGGCGACAGGGTCAGGGAACGATTACCTCGCCGCCGGCAGGGTTGTGTCCGCCTGATGGGGTCCTTGTCCGCTTCGACGGGGCTTGGAAGAAGGAGGTGGGTGGCGGGGTAGGGTTTGTAGGATTCTCTCACTCCGGCCAGCTACTTTTTGCATTCGGCCGCTACTATCCAGGTGTGTCTGATCCTTTTGTAGCGGAACTTTTAGCTGTCCGCGATGCAATTAATTGGTGTGTCATACATGGATTTGGTTCGGTCAATTTCTGTGGCGATTGTCAGCCTTTGATTCGCAGGATACGGACGAGGGATGTGGCTCATGGAACTGACGGTGCGATCTTGGAGGAGATTTGTTCGGCGGTCTCGTTGTTTAATTTCTTTGATTGTAACTTTACTTCGAGATTGTACAACAGGGCTGCCCATTTAGTGGCTTCTAATGCCCTTTCATCGATAGTTCGGCTATTTGTCGACTGTCGCCAGTGGTTGTCAAGTGTCCTGTAATATCTATAACATTTTCTATCTATGACCAAAAAAAAATGAAGCCTTCACCGCTTTTAACAATCACAATGAAGAAATTTATCGCTTCTAACGACCGCAGTGAAGGCCAAACATGTGTAGATTGAAAGTATTTCATAAAATCGTGTGTGTATTTTGGAAAAAAATATCAACAACTTGTA